TCGTTCGGATGGCTGCGGACGGGGCTTTGAAGGAATTCGAGGCGGCTTTGGTTGCCGGTAAGTGAAGGCGTCTGGAGGTTCTCTTGGTTTCTAACTAGCGCGTCCAGATTGCACTGGACCGACCCGCGCTGGACTCAAATGGCTCTCTAGAGCAGGCTATGGGATCCCGTCGTCGATCAAAGGGAAGCTGCCTCTGGATGAGTTGAAGATCGTGGTCGACCAGAAACTCCACTACTCATCGCTGACTTTCACCATCCCCGAAACGGTGTACTCGCAACTGCCCATCCCCGCTGAGTACCGGGAGCAGTCTCTGCCGTTCGTTTTCATGGAGGGCCAGACGCCGACGACGTTGGCGAAGGGAAACGCCATCTTCATCCTTCTGCGCGTGCACGAGCAATGTGAGTGTGCCCGAAACGTTCCCTACCCGTACTACCACGCCTCATTTCCACACAGTGATCTTGTTTACTGGCCATTACGGCGACCAGCGTGCGCAGGCGAAGACGCTGGCCGAAGCGAGGGAGTATGTACATGACCTGGAGGCTGTGCAGCCCATTCCCGGGTGGGTGTTCGAGACATTGGACCGGCTGGAATCCCTCGAGCTCGGACCGACCGCGTCTGTGTTCCGCGTGAATCCGACCAGTTACATCCGCTACCATCTCGCCGGCAATCTCCCGTCGAACTACGTCGCATTGGGCGATAGCGTGATGAATGGTGAGAGCGCTGTTTCCTTCCTTCCCATGGCGTATACTAAACCGGCGTAGTGAATCCTGTTTATGCGGAAGGAACGAGTAAAGCTACGCGCTGTGCTCTGGCCCTCCAAAAGACCCTTCTGCAAGTTCGCGGTCGGTCACTTCCGCCAGACTTCGGATCCACGTTCTTCCACGAAGAGCACGAAAAAACAGGCTGGACGTGGGAGGGAACGCGTCTGAACGGTGCGCGTTATCTCTCACTCGCCGCAGTCGCCATCTGACTTGCTTGGAGATTACGGTCATCCGCAAACACAGCCTCTTCCCGGCGAGAGCCTCTCGTCCGGTGCACCTGTGCGCTGGTACTTCCAGCGCTTCCTCCGCCTTGCTGCATCCGTGCGTCCAATGTCCTCATCTGTGAGACTGGGTGTGACTGATGAATATGCTCTAGGATAAGGATGCTGCCTGGGCTATCTACAACATCCAGACTGGACTGGGCTCGCCGATTGACGCGTTGAACCCACACATCGTGGCCAAGGTATTGTGGCGGGCTTTGGTCGGCGTATGAACGCTATGGTAGCTGGCAATTAGACACTTGAGCAGCCTTACAACCAGAACGGATTTCAATCTGGCTATTGCCAAATCCGGCGCACCCTGTATTCATCCTGCGCCTCTCGTATATAGAAGCCACGAAAATCGATTTCATTGCTGCGGTTTAGGTGAAGAGGCTCTACCGAATCCGGTGCCGGAGAAGCCATTGATATGGATTGATGCCACAGCTGAAGAGGGAAAGAACAGCAAAAGAGGCTGCGCTATTGCACATGATGATGATGGGACATCTGGCGTATATGGGAACACGTGCCGCCGTTAAATTTGTCTCCAGTCTCGGCGAGAGTCGCGAGACGGTTCCCCTCACAACCCTTCCGAGACCATTTCAACGCGACCCCGTGCTGCTACTCCCAGGTCACAGGGATGAGCTGAGGCTCACGCGATGCGAACACTGAACGCCGCAGACAGGAGCATTCCAGCGCTCAGTCCTCAACAAGCGGATCGATGCTCGTTCCGCGACAGCAGTCGATTCAATCTGTTGTCGTCGCCAGGACATAATGGTCCGTTGTGGCAAGAGACATGAGCGCATACTCGAGATCGAGAATGCACTTCCTGCCCCTAGCTATAGCCTAGCGCTCACCTCACTGCGTTCCCCACTTCCTTTCCTCGCTGCTCTGACCTCATGTAAGCATCTCGGCTCGAGACACATATAAGACTCTGACGCTGCGGGTTAGGGATATTCATACACACACTGGCATGCGCATTGGCTCGCCCCCACCACCGTCGTTCCGGGCCAAGATCGCCCAATTCGAATCGAAAGGCGGTGTCCCTATCCCCCGAGCAGGATCCTCCTTCGGGATCAGTGTGCCCGCGCCCAAACAGCCCGGCTCGTCATATACAGGTGGAATGATGTACGGCAACATCATGAAACCGGTGTGGTTCCCGTCTGCTCCCGCTTTCAAGGAGAGCAGGACGATCTTGGGGTGGACAAGGTGCCCCATGCACGGAAAGCAAGCACGACGCATGAACCTCCGGCGAGAACGGTGCGTAGGTGCATGCAATGACAATCCGGCGTAGTCAATGAACTCTGCAGACATCGCAACAACTTCCCTCGCCGCCTGATTCGCCGGCTACCTCAGACAGTCGACCAACGTCGCTACGATGCGTCACCCCGTTGATTATAGAGCCGGAGTGCGACGACATAGAACGTATCGATTCTCAACTAGATCCGAACTCGATTGTTGCCAAGTCCTCGACCAACGCCTCCGATGAACGCGAGCAAACACCGTCCATTCAAGAAGAGCTGAATCTTTGCGTGGAGTGGCTTGACGACAACTGCTGGCAGATGCTGCCATTACCCCCCACCCCCGACTACGGCCTCACACTTTTCACTCTTGACCGAGGACCCTCTCCCATTCTGGTATCGGAGTCACCCAAAGAGTTCGATTTCAGCGTGAGCGACCTCGCAGGCGACACGTCAATATCACAGGTGCCAGGAGACGACAGTCCAGATGTTCTTGCTGTCCTCGTGCACGGCCCTGAAGCCGGCACCTCGAACTCCACGGCAGACGCAGACGACCTTGGGCCGTCGTCACCGTCCCTTCCATCGTCTCCGACGACGCCCGGAAGCGAATTCGACTCCCATTCAGACGCCAGCGATGCGGAGATCCAGTACGCTGCGATAGCTCTGGCGGCCCCGCCGCCCTCGACAAGATTCTTCGAGCGGGGAACCCAGACGTTCTCGGCTGTCGTCCACGCGCGGATGCGCGATGAGCAACCGGCGAGCAATGGCCTTGAAGCCGAGAAGCATCTTCCGCCAGCCCCGAGCCCTCTGAGCCCCGGATTCCCGGCTGAGCTGCGGGCGCTCGTGCAGGAGTCCGCGGTGCTGGAGCGGAAGCTGCTTGCGGGCGAGCTGCCCACCGACGCGTCGAATCGGCTCAGCTGCCATGTTGTCGATATGACAGTGAGCTTGCCAGCTCATAGAACGGCTCTGACTCCCGAGATGGTTCGGAGAGTGACGCCCTGGGCGTATGCCGAGGTAGAAGAGGTGGTGAAGCTCAAGAGCAAGCATTTTTTCCGTATGCCTTCGATACTGCGGCGGCGAAAGGTCCAATTGTAATATGTATATCGTTTTTTGCTCGTTTGGTCGGTGATAGTGAAAAGCTCCAACCGATATTGGATCTTGGTTTGAAACCTGAAAGCGGATAGGCGCTGATGCGGTCGCCCGAGGCGGCTCCGAGCCTCCGAACACTTCCCACGACAGATGAAATGCGGTCGGACCCTTGGTATCATGCGATGTCAGAAAAGTGGCATGCTGCTGGGTCGCGAGGGTGCCGTAAGTAAGTTCAAACGAGTGGACAGCCACCATCATTTTATAGACCAATTTCAAACCCAGACATGTTCACGACAGAAGCTCTGCAAAGCCGCCCATCCGACGCCTCGGCGCATCCCGGTGTCCTCGTCCCAGCTACTATGCAGTCCGATGAGCTCGCCGCCATCCGCTTCGATTAGTGGTGCCCCGCTGTGCCCCCAATACGTCCAACAATCGTGCATGAGCGCCCCAATCTCACTGTTATCCATGACGTCCTGGCCGGGACACATCCCTCTGAAGCGCCCCTCGCTGATGAAGAGCGTGTCGTAGCCCGTCTTCGTGCCCGGAACGACGGACTCGAGGTCATCTGAGCCCGGGTGGCCAATGCAGAGCAACCGCGCACGGGACTTGAGTGCGGTGTGGGAGACGGGAACGAACGGGAACGAAGAGGTGGAGGAAGAAAGTGGGGAGGATTCATGTGGGGAGGGCTCCGCCGCGACTATGCGGAGCAAAGCCAGATCTAGACGCGCGTCCCAGACGATCCACTCCGCGCGCACGACGCGTCCGTCTGCGAAAATCATCATCCGGCCGGGGCTCGCGCCCTCCCGCAGCTCATCCGCATCCTCCGCAACGCAATGCGAACACGTCAGCACCAGGCCCGACTCGTCGATGCACACTGCCGTCCCTGCCTCTTCCTGCGCGAACACGAGCGTCGCTGCCAGTGCGCGTGCGTACGCCCGCAGCGATGCTGTCGAGGAGGGCGGATTCGGGCTGTAGGCGCGCAGCCATGACCGTTTCTTGTTCAGGACACGCAATTCGTATGCCGTGAGACCGGTCGTTTGACGCGTGAGATTCTGGAGGATCCCGATGTCATCCGAGCGCACTGCTCTCATTCGGATGTGGCTTTGGGCTACCGGGGTCTTTGACCAATTGCCTCTTAGACCCGGCACTTCTTTCTCTGACATTGTTTCGCGCAGAAAGGTGGATAGAGAGAGACAATCGTGTCGGCGCGTCAAGCCGTGATGAGATGACAATCGACATTAGACGCCCCCTATTTCCTATTCGGTACTTGCCGCACCTTCTCCCTCGACCGTCATGACCTCGCTCTCTATCGACTCGTACACGGTCTGGATACTCGTCGACGGTGAATCTTCCCCAGTCTATGAGCCACGCGTCCTCAATAGGACCTCTGCCACATGCTGGATATCCTCGCACGCGGGCAAGGTCAGTCACTGGCGCTTGTCGGGTGCCGCACGGGCGCTAAGTGTCCTCCAGAGCTTCTCGGTGAACTGGAGCAACGCTTATCGGGACCGGAGCATCCTTGCGGAATTGACGATCGACGGCGTGCTGTGCAGCACGCACTTCATGCTGGACGCCATGTCGTATCCGTCCGACCCCAGCGCGATCGGAGTGTCCTATGCCACCACGTCGGACTTCACGCAGAGGGATTTCGTGTTTGCACCAATCGAGGTCACTGGTGCGTGTGCTTGCTAGCTGCGGGCAGAACACCGGGCTGACTGAATGTGCGTCGCAGATGACGACGCGTATCTTCACACGTTAGACGCTCCACCCGCCTTTGGGGTTATCAAGCTTGAGCTCTGGGAAGCCGACATCCGGAATGTCAGACGGACTGAGTTTCGACACCAGTACGGCTCGACCGTCCTCGAGGGACAGACGATCCACGAGAGGTCCAAGAAAGCCGGCGCTCATCACGTCAAGTGTGTCAGCCGCCCACCTACCCTCCAAGTCCTTCACTCAGGCTGATTGCGTAGATTTGGTGGAGAGTACGTCGTTGCCCCGCGGCAGGTCAACATGATCGACGCCCAACGTAAAGGCTCGGAGGCTCTGGCGACGTTTACATTCAACTACCGGCCTCGTGGTCCGTCCTGCTTTTTCCGTCCGTTCGTGTGTGGACTCAATCCATCCACAGACATACTCATGGCTGGAGGTATCATCTCGTCACCCGTTCCCTCGCCGGTGAAAACCGAGCCAGTAGATTCGCAGATCCTTGGTCTAGAAGTGAGCCCGGGTGCAATGGTTTCTTCGTTCTCCTGCTGATACGTCTGCAAGGCACAGTTGAGAGCTCTGCGCGCGCAGAAATCTGCAGGTTCGGCGCCGAGGGTTTCGACTATGGCACATCCACGAACTGGGCAGTCGGTGCAGGTCATCGATCTGACTGATCTATAATAAGTACTGTCTGCGCGTCCCGATCAACAACTACCCTGGAGTCTTAACGCCTCATCTGTATTCACTCACAATTGCTTGTATCTTATCATGCATGTACTCCCTCGCATTCGATCTGCTGTCCTGCATTGGCTGTCCCATCCGCAGTCTGGGGGTTACAGCCCCATTGATGAAAGGATCTCTCTTCCAGACAACCAAGTGACCGTCAAGCAAAAGACCTGAGATTCATAGTCCAATGTTCCGGGATTGCAGTTTTTCGGTTCGATACACTCGTCTCAATGGACAAAATCCGTATTGCCAGAGACGTGAAGGCTTGATACTCGCACTAGAATTGTCAAGGAATTCGAGAGCTGCTCAAGCACGTTTGAGTCAGCCGACCAATCTCGCGTGTTCCGACATGAGCCGATGATTTGACCAGCGATCAAAGAGCTGTATTTGCGAAAGATGGCGGGAAATGCGTTTTAGGGACGAGCTGTTCTTACACTACGTACCATCAGGATTTGTTCCGTTGATTCACCGGTTGTACCAGACGGGTTTGCAGCAGAGACATCCATCATCGGCTTTAACTTGCAGACTGATCTTCCGTTTCCTCCATAATGGCCGCATCAGCCTTTGCAAGACAAGGGCGAAAGGTCTGCGCTCTGTCTCGTCTTTTCCCGGTCCAAGTAACCCTGGTATAGATTGTCGCCATTGGCCGCAACTACGCCGAACACATCAAAGAGCTCAACAACACCGCTCCCAAGGAACCGTTCTTCTTCCTCAAGCCGACGACGAGCTACGTGCAGTCCGGTGGCAGGGTGGAGATCCCCACCGGGATCATGGCGCATCACGAGGGTGCGTAGGTCGGGCGGAACGCGACACGCGTGCGGCTGACCGGGCGCGCAGTCGAGTTGGGCGTCGTCATCGGGAAGGGCGGTCGGGACATCTCCCACCGGGACGCCGACGCGCATGTGGCTGGCTACGGTGCGTCACGCGCTCCGTGTCTCGTTCCGCTCATTCAGACGGCGAACAGCCCTCGCCGTCGACATGACAGCGCGGAACCTCCAGGACCAGGTGAAGAAGAAAGGACTGCCGTGGTCTGCGGCCAAGGGCTTCGATACTTTCACGCCCATAGGGTCGGTGGCGGTTCTGTTCCTCAGGACGCGTCTCAACGGCCGCACATAGATCCTTTATTCCCAAGGAGAAGATCCCCGACCCTAATAGCCTGGCCTTGACCCTCAAGATCAACGGCGCATTCAAGCAGAACGGGAAAACAGCGGACATGATCTTCAAAATCCCGCAGCTTATCGAACATATCTCCTCAATCATGACGCTTGAGGCGCGTTCTCAAAAAAGACGTGTGGGTTCCCGCTGACGCTTATTGACAGGAAGGAGATCTCGTACTGACCGGAACACCCTCCGGCGTCGGGAAGGTGTCTCCTGGAGACAAAGTCGAATGCACACTGGCGGACTCTGCCGGCGCAGAGCTTGCCACGCTCGACTTTGTGGCGGTCGCCAGACAGGGCGGATACGAATTCAAACCCGAATAGGAAGGACGAGTACATCTTACATGACATACTACGACATTCGTTTATCTCCCTGTGGACTATGTGGATCAAAGGGCTCCGAACCCGCGTCATCTGAACCGGAACCGCTGGCAAACGTCCAGCTGCCGGTCGGCGTCAGCTCGCCGTCTTGAATTGACGATGACCCGTGGAATTCTCCGAAGTCGCCGAAACTGTCGAAAGCCGTATCGTCCATCTCGTCAGCGAATGAGAACGCATCAGAACCAGAATCTGAAAAGGGCCCGAAGCCATCCTGTCGAAAACGTTTGAGCACTAGCTGTTGCAGATCGACGGACACGCACGTCATCTGCGAATGGATCTGAAGCACCGGGCTCGAAGGCGTCCTGTATAATTGTGAATGGCGGCAGAAAGAAAGGTGAATGTCCTTACATCGAAGCCAGAAGCACTCAAAGGCCTTCGTTCCGGGCGACCAGTCGCTGGTGGCTGGCCGAGGGAAAATTTGGACTGTGATAACCATCCTCCGTTGGAGTCATCCTCGTCGTCCGAATCGAATGAATCTGAGCTTTCGTAGAACTTTTCCAAGTCAACCGTTGGTTCCCAAAGGTGGTGGACAATCAACTCACTGCAGCTGACCGGACTTCGAAGCCGTCGTTTTCGTTAGCATCTGCAGGCCCGAAATCAGCGCTGCCCTCCCGCCTCGGACGTGACGAGCTGGCGCGTTTGAACTCGCCCTTGACATTTGCGTCGCTGTCGGATGTTGTTGCCGCTGTCGTCGTTCCTGTGACTGCGGTTCCAGTGGTGTCTTCCTCGTCAACTTTCCACCGACTGCTCCCTGCCATGGTGCTACGGATGACTGGTTTCCCGCCACCCAACGGCTCAGCATCGCGCTGCTTCGTTTCCTTGTAGCGTCCTTTGACGTACTCGTCCCAGTCCGGCTGAGGTACAAACGGTTCGATTGCCTCTCGCACATCCGTGGGGAAACGCTCCATCGCAGTCAAGACGTCCTCCGAAATTAGTGTGAGATGGCCCATATACCCTAATCGTACGGCCTTGGGCTTGTCCTGCGCTGCATCGTTCATTTTCTGACCCTCGATGATCCTTTGCATGAGTTTTGCATCGCGGAAGAGGGAAATAGCCAGTTCTCGACTCTGCCCTCCATTATCGACGGTCCCAGTTAGGATCTGGTGCGTCAGGTCATAAACCGCACTGTGTAGAAAGTTATTCCATGGGAACTCGAAAAAGAGGTCCTAGGAAAAGGTCAGAATGGAAAACGCTGGGCGACTGAGAGTTGCGCTACCAGTAATGTCGACAGGATATTCAGTTCGACAAATCGACGCTTGAACAGCTCACCCGGAGGTAGCTCCAGCACAACGCTCTGTCTTGCTCGCTGAGACCTGATACTCGGCGAAGATGAAGGCGTGGGCAACACCGGAGACGCGCTGGGCGCGGATTCCTGTTGCAGCGGGGGCGAGCCGCTAGGTGGTAATGGCGCGTGTGGTTTTGAGATGGGAAAAGGAGTATCGTCCTCCATCAGATCTTCGTCCGAACTACCCGGCTCGTCGTCGCTCATGTCTTCATCGGAATCCGACAGCGATGACAGCCCACCGCTCACAGGCAGCTCGTGCGCAGGGGCAATGTCATCCCTCGATCGCATCGGCGTGTCCCGGTCCTCGCTGCCAGGATTGAGTGCGATGACCTGCGCGAGTTCTTCGAGAGCAGCCAGTCCGCCTTGAAGGCGACCTTCGCTGTCGTACAGGCGGCTGTGCTCGATCCCCCGATTGAGGAGCGCCATATTCGAGCAGTGCAGCATTTCGGCAAGCAGTTCGCATATCCGATAGCGCTCAAACGTGAGAGGAGCGATGTCTCCGACCGTCGTTTTGATGGTTCCGTTCTAGAGGGCAGTCAACGGACGTGCATCTGATAGATGTAAGGGTAACGCACGACTGAGCGTGGCGAACGCAGGTAGCCCTGTAACCCGTCCAGCTTCTCTGTGATCAACTCTAGCAGAGGACCCAAATGAACCACTCCAATCCGATCTACCATCTCTCCCAAAGCGCTTTCCAACTGCTCTCGTCCACCATCGCCGTCCTCTTCTAGCGCAGCGGGCCCCAGATGCTGCTGGACCTGGATGAGCCGATTTCGAAGCGTGTGAAATAGGTATGGCTCGAAGTAGTTGGAGTTGTTCTTCCGAATGAGTTCGATGACGATCGCAATGGAGTGCACGACCGAGGAGGTGCAGGATTCCGCATTTGGCAAGGTCTCCGTCTCAGCCTGGTCTGGCGGCGGCGTTTTGTAGTCCAGAAGTATGTAACCGGATAGCGTCTTGACGCTCTCCATCGATGCCAGCTGTCGCGCAAAGATGTTGGACGCGGGTCCGGCTGTCATTTCCCCCAATCCGGCACCGGGGGTGGGAGTGGCCATCGAGATGATGCCTTTGATGAGCTCCGCGACGACATTATGCACGTCCGGAGAATATGTCGGTGCGAGGAACACCAGGAGCCGAGCCATCAGGTTCTCTGACGACAGCCACTACGGTCTGTGAGTGCGACGAGGTGCGACGAGAGAGCGGCACACACCTCGAGCACACCCGCTCCTCCCGGCTGTTCGTCCAGCTGAATGATGCGCACAAGCAGGTCGATGAATGAGGGCGTTTCGATGTGTCGGAGAATGCGCTCCACAATGTCCGGTTGCGCGCGGATGAAAGCCAGCATCTGGTGTGGGGCTGAGGGAGAGATTGGTTGGTACAACGGACCAGACACACCTCCGCAGGTCTTTTTCCCAAGAACACAGCGTTGATTTTGGCGAAGTGCGACGCCATGACCATCTGCGTCTTCATGTCTTCAGGTGATCTGTCGAGGATGGCATCCCAGAATGGGACCAAGAGCTCGGTTTGCGAGTTGACACACGTCTCGACAATAGACCATATCTCGCTGCATAGCACTTCGGTAGAGACATAAGGGTACCTGCGCTGCGGTGAGTCCGGGGGTACGCATACAAGGAGGTCAGGCGACTGACTTGAATTGGCCGTGCTCTTCGTTCTCAATCTGCCCCGAAACATGCTTCAGCAATCTCTGCAACACATCCACCCGCTGGAAATAATCTATAAGGCGCGTGTTTTGGGCCTTGCATTCTTGCAGCAGATCGTCTTCGTCCAAAATAGCTTCTACGGAAACGTCTTCCTTATCCAGCAGGCTGTCGATAGCGGAGGCATTATGGAAGCCGAATCTATGGAATGCGCTTTAGTCCATGGGAGAGGAGGCAGGACCGGGTCGTGCCTCCAGAACATGCGATCTGTGTTGGAGAGGAAGATGAGGTGGTGGACCGTGGTCAGATCACAATCGGTGATCGTTGCCTATCAGCGCGCGCCCGATATGGTTGCTTGACATCCCCCGCACCACATCCCAGTCTTTGACGTTCTGTCTTTAAATTTTCTGACTAAGTTGCCTCCTATTGCCACGACACTTGTGCAAGACTCTCGTCCTCATGACCGTGACCTACCCGGCAGTTCCTCCTCTCAACGAAAGCTGGCCCCTTCCTCCGGCCAATGAAATCGGACTGCACCCTGACGGGTTAGCGCATGGAATCTCCTACTATCTGCCGAAAGTGCGGCACTCCGACTTCCTAAGCCTGCGGCGAAGTATCAAGATAAATTAATTGCCGTTCGGGTGGTAGCATGGCTCATCAAGGACTTTTATGAACACAATATGACCGCCGGCTACAAGAGCCTGACTCGCCAAGTACTGTCGTGCAACAACGTGTCAATGGCACTGGGGCCGGCGGAGGACCTCGAGCAGCGTCACGAAAAAGTCTTCCAGCTCGGTATAGATCTACGCAATCAACTGTTTCGCGTGTGTGAGTAACGAGGCAATCTTTCCTTTGCAGTAAGCTGACTATTCAAGTTTGCTCGCGCACCGATCGTACTCCATCCCCATCCCCTCACGCCTCCCTCCCGTCCTACGAAAAGCACAGAGCTGATATCCTCAAGAGCATGGCAGAGGTCCCGCCCTGAGCAAGGAAGGACACATTCGCAGGCCAAGGTCGACGTAAGTCTGTCCCCCACTAGCTGCCGGTTTTGTCGACCTTGGATCGTAATAGGCCCTGCTGCGGGACGGCCATAAATGTGTAATGACACGTCTATATGACAAGGTTACCCTCATGAACGTTCCCGAATTGAACCAGAAGTCGGATCATGAGGGAGTGGGGAGCGTCGAGACTGAGGTCGCTCACTTGATCTCGGGCACCGCGCAATCTGTTAGTCCCTTTCCCACCAAATTCATCTGCTGAATCGTATGCCAGTATTCCGAATATTCTGCAAGCGCTTTGGCTCTGCTTGAAAGCTTTGGTCTACGCAGTTTAGTCGATAAGCTGCAGGGTAAATGCGTGAATACTTTGTTTCACACCATGACCTTGTCCATCGCCTTGCACAAGGACTATGATAAATTTCTCTTCTGGCTTGAAGCTATCCCTGGAACGGTGATATTTCTATCCTTTACTGAAATTTCTCGAAGAAATCTCATCCTCGTCGTGCAGGAGCATACCTACACTGTCGTTGCGCGCCATCCGCCAACTTTCTTCAAGCAGGTGCCCAAGCCATCTCGGGAGGTGGCATTTCGCGTAGATCCTGATGCGGCGCGAGACGCTGCCGCCAATGGCATCGAACTGCCTCTCCCTGATCCAGAGCTGATGAACATCCGTGCTTCATGCGCCCGTGCTGCTGTGATGTCCGGTGCCGCTGATCAATTTCGGCTGCTAACGGAGGATCGGGACGATGCGGGGACGCTGACGGATTCGGATTCTGCGATGCATCTTCTCGACTCCCTACTTTATGCTGTATCTGATCATTCTTATGTGCGCACATTAGCTCCTGGAGCATAATCTTGTCCCCTAGTTTCTTGCCAGTGAACTTTTTGTAAGATCGACACAGCAGATTCTGCTCTACTGCATGAGTGCAGGTGAGCTACATTAACCCTTGCCCACCCCAATTCAACCCAATTAACCTCGAGCCCCCCCCCCTGCACTCCCATGATCAGATGCGTCTGGGATAGGGCGCGCCTAGGCGTTTGGATTGCTCTGTGCATATGTACTGGAACCGAATTTTGTTCTATCCGATATCCACTGGGTGAATCGAGAAGAAAAATCAAGCCAATTCTGTTGGATTGATCGTTAGAGTGATCCGTACACTATCTACTCGTGGCTGTGTAATCATCAGACACTGTTATACTCGTCCACCATGAAAGTCAACGCCAACACGGTTCTAGTCGGCAGCAAAGTAGTGCTCTTGCCTTACCTAACTGAGCATGTACCAGTAAGATCCTTCGCTCTTTCTTGAAAACCCTCCCGGATGAGATCGAAACACGAGAAATACCACACCTGGATGCAAGATGAAGAGCTTCGGGAGCTTACTGCAAGCGAGCCGCTTTCTTTAGAAGAGGAGTACGAGATGCAGCGTATGTACCCCCCCTTATTTTTTTGGGATTACCAACTCAGACTTGACTGCTAGGGAAGTGGCGAGAAGAAGAAGACAAATTGACGTTCATCGTCCTCGCAAAGACGCACGACGCCGCTGGATCCAGCACTCTGAGCTTAGGAGATCCAATAATCTCACAGCTGCCTATGATCGAGACGTCAACATTTTCTTCACGGCTCACCCTCGCTGACGAACGAGGAAGCGGGTGAAGATTCTACGCCGAGGCTGAGTCATGATCGCAGGTGATTATCCAGACGATCCCCGTTGCATCTGCCCTCGCGGCTCACTCTGATACTAGAACGCGATTACCGGCGCAGAGGCTACGCACTGGAAGCGCTCCAGCTGCTGCTGGGTTACGCGACTGCATCGCGCGGCGGTTCAGGCTCGTTCATATCCACGACCCCGCTTCAACCCGATCGGACCTCGAAGCGAGCTCCAGCCCGCTGCCCATCTCGCCCGCATCCCTCCTGGTTCGGATATCGGAATCCAACACG